TATATATATATATCCCAGGGGTCAGATGAGCCAAGTTCATGGAGATGTGCATACCTGAAGAGACTTGCTGCTGCAAAACGTGGTTCTATAAAGACGTTTGCCTTAAAGTACCTCTCTGCAAAAAGAACACCCACATACAGAGAGCAGATTTCATTTCAGTTTAACATATATTGATTATCTATGACAGACAACCAGCTTGCAAAAATAGATAAAAAAACACAAAACCACACACACATATTGTGTGCTCTTACCAAGAGTATTGATTCTGCAATCAAAACAGACATTGCCATGAATCTACAACCCCTAAATGGGCGAGTGATTATCGAAAAAAAAAAGATACAGCCTCTTCACTCAGACGACACTTCAATATTCTAAACTCTGCAATAATAACATGGCTGAATTGAGGTCTGTCTAAGTCTCACTAATGGATTTGGCTCGTGTCAGGGGTTAGCCTATGGTTGTGTAAATGTCAGATGTATTGTGACTGAGTGGGTTGTTTTTGCTGCTCTGATTCTTTCAGGATAAGGCAGCTCCAAAGCTCCTTTGCTGCAGATCATATTCTGCACTGTCAAAACAGCGACAAAAATGGAAGTTTCGACGAGAGGGTTTGGTATTCGGTTCAAATATTAACAGGTACATCTAAGGCCTTCCAAAATACTGTTAATAAAATAAAGCTTGCTGAGCCCACTGCCTGTGAGGTTTCATATAAATATTCTGGGAAATCAAATGCAACGTCTCTGAAGGTGATGCAGGCAAGAACAACTGGAATGAACCTGTGATCCATGCATGCTGGTACGTGCTACCGGTTCATCAACCAAGTGTATTGTCACTGGCGAAAAAAATAAACAAGTCTCTGCTCCATTTCACTTTGTCCAAGCCCCCCGATGGGAGAAAACGTGCTCATGCCTCTTTCCCACCGCTCCGGTAAACAATGCAGCAGCAGTAAAAGATGTGCCCCATGTCCAGGAAAAAAAAGGGGGGTCCAGTGTTGTGAGTCTGTGCACCGACATGTGCGTGTGTATATTCATTCAGCTGCGTGCCAGATGACTTCTCGTCTGCATCGTCAGTGAGACAGATCAGTTTCAGTGATGAAACACAAAAGGACAGCACTCACACGTTCCACAGTTTCTGGTACCGCCTTGTGTTGTTTATTCTGGGACATTTTTTTTCTCTCCTGAGTTTGATTGAAATGACATGAGGTGAATGCAGACTAATTGCAGCCTGCAAGAGAGCTTCACGGTGCTCAAAAAGTAACATCAAGTTTATGTTAGCATAATCCCTGTTTTCTTTTTCTTTTTTCTTTCATTTTTTCTATAAAATGTAAGTGTCAGAGTGGTCCTCCTCAGTCATGCCTGGTTTGGCTGGAAGTCTGGTTGAGCAGAATGTGGGAGATTAACCTTTATGAAAATTGTCTCCTTATCCACAGGAGGGCAGCCATACTCCATGTAAATCTATCACTGGGAGGCAAAGAACATTCCAGGGATATCTTTTTTACACAACCAGAGATAGTATTTCAGAAATGTGCATTCTCTGCTAAAACTTTGATACATAAGTATGGGATAAACTGTAACTGTGTCTGGCTCTCAATGAAGTGCTGCTGCTGCAAAAGTAGCCTTCTAATTCAATAATCCATTACTCAATGAAAAAAATATATAATAACTTTTATGCTTTGCTGCAATTTGTGCATATTTTATTTTCATCCACTTTTGTGTCAAAAACTGTAAAAGGACGATATTTTGACCATAAATGATTTCATTTTAAACCACAAATACCTTCTCTTTCTCCATTGTTTTGGAAAGTAGTTGTCTCTTTCCAGATGAAAGACTCTGTCAACACCAAAACCCCTCAGTAGTCTTCTCTTTGAAGAGTCTGTCTGGGCCTGTTTGTGCTGAAACCTGTGGGATCCCACAACAACAGGGTAAACCTACAGAGGTCATGGTCAAAGCTCTGGTGAGTCATGCACCGGATGACCTTTGACCTCGTTTTCACTCTCTAGTGAGACAAAACTGGTCCTCTCATGTTTAAAAGCGTGCAGCAATAACCTAGCTGGAAAATGAGAAAGAAAAAAATAGAAAGCTGTTTTCTTCCTTTTCAGATAATCATGTGCTTTTCTGTTGTAACCACCAGAGTGCAGTGCAGCACTGTCATTTTGATAACGTTAGAGAAATTTCAAAGTTTTGCCCTTCTCTTGATGGTTCACTGAATTTTCCTTTTGTTCTGGTTCTGGTTGAGTTGTAAACGCAACAAGATGAGATTCAACAACTTTTTTTTTTTGAAAATATGCTTGTTTCTGTGCGAAACAAGAGGATAACTGCAGTTACACTGCAGATATCTTATGTTTTATTCACATCAACATCAGTGCTTTAAAATCAGCTCACAATAAATCCATCACTGTTTGAGGCATCACTTTTAAAGACCAAATTGTAGTTGGTAAGTCCAGACCTTTTTTAGAAATTCTGGTGCAAATTATGGGATATAATTTTTCAGAAAGCATCTTGGCAATCAAGAAAACTTAGCAGGTAAAAAAATATCACCCAAACAGAATATAAAAGTATCTACAAAGAACCAGGAGAGACTAAAATATTTTTTCTGCACTCATAGAGACTCCAAGTACACAACAAAAAGTATTTAATGACTAAAAAAAGTGGATTTTGTATGTTCCCTTAAACAAAAATAAAACCTTTTTATTGGAATAAATACAGCAGACAGTTAGCTATGAAAAACAGATTTATTGAAACCAGCACGTCATGATGAGACATTTATAACATCAGTAGAATACATCACCATTAATATTGTCATGCCAAAACGCAGCAACAGCAGCACTTCATTTCCTCACTCCCACCATTTGTGAGACAGGCCTCCTACATTTTCCTCTTCATGAAGATAGTCTTATCACACACACACGCACGCACGCACACACGCACACACACACACACACACACACACACACACACACNCACACACACACACACACACACACACACACACACACACACACACACACACACCACTCTGGTGATCGGCTTGTCTCATTAGACTAGAATCTCCCGAGGCCGGCTCCAGCTGCTCCTCCTCTTCCTCCAGCGTGGCTTCCACTGGCAGATGAAGCTTTGCAAACACCCGTTTACAGTCTTCTGACTCACTGATGTGTTGCAACTGTTCATTGTCCATTGTTGTTGAATGGTATGTAGAAAGCAAGATCCAAAAAGAGATTTTTTTATTTTTATTTTTTGTTGTTGTTGAGTTCCTGTTTATACTGCTTTGGAGTTTTAACATAAACATTATTTACATTGTTGAAGTTGCTACTATTGTGTACTGCGTAAGCAAGCAACGGCTTAACAGTGCCAACATCAGACTATATCAAAGCAAAACAAGAACACCACACCAGTATTCACATGCACTAGCCGATAGTGTTGTATCTGTCGTTACAGGAAGTTCACAGCTACATTCCAGATTTGTTTGCTTGTGCACAGTTTAGCTTTTAATAGTTGGTAAAAAGTAGTAGTTGATTTTTACATTGCATGCAGTGAAATGAAGGTGTTACACTTCACTGTTTGTGAAAAATACGCACATACGTAGGAAGTACAGTACCATATGGAAAGGGGTTAATGCTCTGTGCTTTTCATTGCATGTGGTTTAGAATTAGCAATTATCCATTTGTAATTGCAGTTATTGTTTAACCAGATTGGTCCTGTGAAATATAAACTTTAGGAAAACAAACAAAAAAAAGCATCTGCACATTATTTATAAAAAATTGCAATGCACAGAACTGTTTATGAATAAATAAACAAGTCATGGAAAGAAAGCCAATGGAAAGTATTATTAAATAAACATGGAAGAACTCAGACTTGACATTTTGGAAACAGAGACAAGGCAATTTTCTAAATATTAAGACCAGAGAGTTTCACAAAAAAGTAATATTAAGATTGTTTGAGAAGCTTATATAGGGCATGGATACACACACACACACACACACACACACACACACACACACACACACACAAGTATAAAAAATCTCCCTGCTGATGAATATTTAACAAACTTTCTCTTAAATAAACTTTAATTTGGGCAAACATGAACCAACTAGACAAATGAAAACTATTGGTATTCCCTTTCTTGTAAGGAGATATGATAGAATAAATTATTTACACAACCTAACTATGTGATTATGGGTTTTTTTTCATTGTTTTGTTTTTTTTAACAAATGATGACTGCTCCTATAAATTTCTTGCAGTTTTTGGGCATTTTCACTTTCATATAAATAGATTCCCTAATTTCCATTACCTCAAATGATCTACTTATTTTCTCATTGCTTTTCCTGTACCAGATTCCAGTTTATTCTGCAGCCTGCCCTAGTATTATTTCACCTATTATCATTTTTTTTCCCTGTGGAATAGAAAAGAAATGATCAGCTATTATAGGTTTGTGCTTATCCGCACACTAAAAAAAACTTCTAACTACAATACCATGAAACAATGCCAAACATTGCCAAATGTGTCAGTCAAACATGGTGTGTATTTGTATCCATTTCTTACACTGGCTGACCTTGTCCCTCTGCACAGTTTAGGTCAGAGGCCAGCTGAGATAATATGCTTCAATGGTCTTGGATGATTTGACAACATCCTTTTTCCTGCGGTCCTCTGTGCTGTGGTACTGTAAACATGGCTGCCCACGCACAGAACACACCAGCTGCCAGTTCAGTTCAGAGCAGCATTTTCTATCTTTTTTTGTTGTTGTTTGTTTTACTTTTCAGTTCCGTCTTTGACAATATCTGTTTCACATAATGAAGGAGAACAAAATGGTAAGTTTATGAGGTGTACAGAATGAGATGTGGGCGTGGTCTGAAGCCTCAGCAGTAAAAGTCAAGGATTACAGTTCAGACACTGCGGGGGGCCCTCTCCAACTCGTGGGTTCTACGGTTGCGGCCCTTCTGCCTTTCTTGCAGGTGCTTCCACTTGGATGCCATTCCTTGCACGTGCATGCTGTTGTGAGGGTTCGCCGCAGCCTTCTGCTGCGGCTGTGTTTGCACCTGCTGCACCAGGTGAGCTTTTTGCCGCTTGTGCTTCCTCTCACGCTTCCAAACCTGGTCACAGAAGTCGTCCACACTGTTCAGAGTCGGGTGATTAACTAAAGACAGGAAGTCTCTGTACCAAAGCTTTTGATTCGGAGACTCTCTAGAGGAGGAAAATTTCTGGGCGTTGCCACTGGTCGCTGCATCTTCATTACGGTGTAAAAGATCCTGCAGCCGCTCTGCATCAATGACTTCGAGGTTAACTTTTAGAACCGTCTGCATGAAGCCGTGCTCCACTGCCTGGCACAGATAAATGCCAGAATCCTCCTTGTAAAGAATCCGAATGAGAAGACCCTGGTCTGTGTGGATAAAGCGCTCCTCTGATCTTATCTACACAGATAGAAAGCAGAAGTAGATAGAGAGGAGGAGAGGGACAAGGAGAAAAAGACAAAGCAGAAATTAAATTCAACACATCAAAACGAGCTGTCATAGTTTCACCGGAATCTAATCAAGTGTTCTGCTTATTGCTCTTTGTTAAATACTGAAAAAAAAAAAAGATTTCTCTTGAGTCAGCGATGGCAGTAAGTACTGATAAGTCTGTATGAAAAGTTTTATTATAATTAGACCTCCTTTATCATTATATCTGCTCTTCAGGCAAAATATATTCAACTTTATTTAAAAAAAGACTAAATAAAAAATGATTAAGTTGAGTCAACCTCTTGTGTTCGTTCCTCTGTGGAAGGCTGGTACTGCCAATGTGTTGTGGCTCTCTGGGACTTAGGGCTGCATTCAAGGAAAGTGCTGCTGTTCTCCACACCGTACACAGTTTTATCCTGCAGGGTTGCCTTTCCACTTAGTTCATCTTGAAAACAACAAAACGTTACATTGAATCACATCATCAAAAGTTGGTTTTATTAAAGGAGAAATGTCATCTTTTTAAATCCTTCTTTTTCACATTTAAATCATTCAGTTGGGGTCTATATATAGGAGAACTGCAATGCTTTTGGTCTGAATTCCTCCTTATTGTAACTCCACAAGAGGAGAATTAAGTCAACAAAAATGTAGTTGCTAAGTACAGACCTTATACAGTGCGGCTGTTATGTTGCAAATACTGTGATGTAATATTTCAGAAAACGTCATAGAGAAAAAATTAAGCAGGTTGAAAAATATGATCCAAACAGTATACAATGATTTCTTTGCCGCACCGCTAGAGAATAAATTGAACTTTTCTGCACTCCTTTAGACTTCAAGCACACAACAAATGGTATTTAATGGCTAAAAAAGTGGATTTTGCATGATATGTCCCCTTTAAAGTACATATTTACAATTTAAAAAGTTCTGAAAATCCCTTTTGTTTTCTTTTTAACTCTCTGTCCTTTATTTTTTTTTCCCAAAATGAACAAACAAATGTGTTATTCCATGTAGTTATCTTCTGGCAAACTGTGAAATGGAACACCTCCTTTTCAAATTGGCAGCGTTTAACAACTCTTTCCATTTATACCTTGTTAAAGGGAAGTAATGCTAAGCGAGTGAGTAAATTTGACCACAGACGAGGTCCTCACTTTGGTTCTAGGACAATAACGGGCCAGTTCACTGGTGGTCCTGGCGACAGAGCGGAGGCTTGAAGGAATGTTGACCATGTTAATTATAAGCTTTGCATGAACCAGGCTCAATTTTTACACCACCAGAAAACACATAAAAACATGCAGATTCCTCACACACAAATTCCTCTATTGAAGGACAGACACTGCTTTGAGATCATTCAACCACATTTAAAACTGCAATAGTTTTTTAAATTATTGTTTTTCTCCTGTAAACTCACCATGGTGCTGCAAATCTGAACACTGAGTGAGTGGGTCTCCGTTCCTGATATCTTGCCTTCTCGTTCTCCTGCAGCGAGCACAAAAATAAACAAATTCACAAGTCAGCAGAAACACCAGCTTTTTATGTGTATGTGTTTGCGAGGGAGAAAATGCATGTCTGCAGGGACTTTTGTGTGAGTGTAGGTGTGTATTTGAATGAGGTTTGGGTGTGCAGCAACAGTGCAGGCCAACACAAACAGATAAACAGCAGGCAGCCAGTGGCTTAGCAGAAAAGCTTTAATTATAGGGTGTGAATGATAGTGGAATTCAGAAATAATGAATCAATCCAGCCTGTCATCTTTCTGGAGCACAAACTCTGATGGTACAAAGTCTTCATTTTAGTGTCATACACTACCTTGAGGTTATTTTCCATAAAAAAATGAAATGAAGCAACAATGGCGACACAAAAACACACTTGTAAATTTTGGTTCTCACTTTAAAGTTTAGTGCATTGATAATTAAGGTACAAGTTTACTCTGGTTTTCCATAGGAGTCTAAAATCCTACTAACTGACTACATACTGCATCTCCAGTTCAAATCAATAGGTCTGGTGAATGCATGCGTGGGAGGCTGCACACAAAGCTAACAGATAGTCACACAGTAAGTTACCCCACAAACTATAATAACACAAATGTTGAAATGTACCAACATCAACCTTACCCCTGGTTCACCCTGCAGACACAACTGACTTTAGATCATGTTTACAGTAAACACTTGAGGTGGGTTGTAAGTGTAAAAACATCACTATATATAACTGAGGGTGTTAAGTATAAGAAAAAGCCGGGAATATAAGTGTGTCTTAGCTCTAGGAGACGTGCTAACCCTTCATGGTTGATAGTCAAATATACAATTAAACACAAATATGTACTGTAATTCTAATTAAAGCATGTATTTTTTATAGATGTCTTTTTGTAAGTCTAGAACATTGCTTATATTCATTTTCACTTAAAGGAAAGATGCATCTTCTTTGAACTGGAGTTTTATAGAGTACACATAAGTAGTCAGTGTTCTAAATGCAGTAGACGGCATTAATGTCAGTTTGTAAGGAAAGAGGTTTCATGGGGAGGTGAGCTGATCACTTCTCTGCAAAGACACATTTAATGATTGTTTGCAGTCTAAGTTTTGTCCATGATAATGATGAATGATAATGATAAAGTTGTCTTGAGAAAATGACCATAAAATGTGAGTTCCCATTAAAACGTTTAAAATGAAGGTTTAGAGTTAACTTTAAAACTGTTCAGCAAAACTCAAACCGGCAGCAACATATCTGAACATGTAAACATTACCACCGAAATGAAACATGAGAATCAGATTGTAGAATGAAAAAAAGGAGTATTGGTTTTCGGAAACACTAAATGCCCTGACCTCAGCCTAACTAAAAATAGCTGATAAAAGTCAATCCAAAGAAATTTTGCAATGAAACAAATGAAATGAAATTGTATTAAATCTGAGAGTAAGAACAGTATGTATCAAACTCAGTTTCCACAAATGTTTACTGCCATAGTAGAATATATATACAAAATAATTTGCACCCTGACATGACCTCAGAACAATTACAAGCAATAAAAACGTGCTTGTTTGTGTTTTTATTGTACATGTACATTGTAAAACCATAGAGCTCAATGAGGATGCACAGTTGTAATATGTGCACGTGCATGTGCTCGTATTGGGATTTATTAAGACATGCATAAGTATGAATAAGTATGAACTTTGTATTGACTACCTTTTAGCCATTGGAAAGTATCTGGAGCACTCTGTGCCATCCCATGCACAGTATGGGTCTCTTGCCAGGCAGCATTCAGCACAAGCCTTCCCATAAACTTCACATCGATGCAAGGGCATCTGAGACACACCGATGTCTGACCCAAGATAAAGTTGTTGCTAGTAAAAAGAAAATACAGGGTAGTAGATATTAGATGTGTGAGTTTATTTGAAACAGTTTGCATTTCAGTTTCGGTATGTTGTGTTCTTTAACATAACAAAGTTTGGCACAGACCTCAGAAATACAGCAGGGCATTAAAAACAGGCACTTTGTCCCTCCTACCTGTCAATTAGCTTTCTCGTTTTTAAATCCCTGTCATTTAAGATGACAAGCTAACTGTCACTGTAAAGCCAGCAATTACGATCTCTGAGTGATGACAAAACAGCTTATCTCGAAGTGCTTAAATCATGCTCACAAAAGTGTCTTTGTTCTGTCTCTCAGTGCCCTTAAGCTAGGTGTGTCACCTCAAGAAAAAACTAAAATAAAATAAAATAAAATAAAATAAATTAAATTAAATTAAATTAAATTAAATTAAATTAAATTAAATTAAATTAAATTAAATTAAATTAAAATTAAACAAAATAAAAAATAAACACTTTTTCAGACAAGTTTTCCAGAGATGCATGTTTTGCATAAACAAAAGTCAAATTTCATCCCTGAGTCACTGGTGAGTTTGGTTTTGTTACAGTTACCAGTAATAAGTCAATCTAAATGACAAATCTTCCTTTCAGAAACTGTGAATAATATACCTGTTTAGTCGAAAGTTCCATGGCTTTAATGGCCACTGGTTCCTGTAAAATAAAACAAATTATAACAATAATTAGTCAAGGCTTGCTGATTTCAGAGATGCCAAAAAGGGAATACAGGTATTTGAAGAAAAAACATACTCTGAAGACAGTCATTTCTTCTAACAGAACTTCCTCCAAATCATGCCAGGAGCCTCTGGGGATCGATACGACTTTCAGAATAGTTCCCATATCTATGACAAAAAATGAGAAAGCACGTTTTAACTACAGTGTGGTCAGCGATTTAGTTTGCATTGAACATGTGTCTACCTGTGCCTATGAACATAACATCATATAGGCCATCTTCAGCTTCTACTTTATCAACAACTATTTGGGTGAACTGGTAGTCCACATCTGTTTTGACAATGATTGGTCGATTGTTGATTGGATAGATAGGGTTAAACATGGCTGGATGACTTCTGGCAAATGTGACGACTTCATCTGGAAGGTCTTTGGTTGTATCAAAACCACCAAACGTCTTGCTTGGGCACTGTAAAAAAAAGCAACGTTTGATAGTTTAACAACAAAAAAGGCCATAAAATTTAAGTATTAGATCATAAAGTCTGTACTCACTGTGCCAGGCCGGGGGTAAGGAACACGGCCCTGGAAGGGCACCCACTGGTAACTGGGTCCATCTCTATGAGCATATGGCCCCAGGAAAGCTCTCCTGATGTCCGTCATGCTGTACATACAAACTGCGGAACCTTTAAAAATGTTGCTAAAGGGAACGAAAGAACAAGTCAGAAAACAAGAAGTCCCAATCAAACTGCACACTAAAAATACACAACAGAAAAGCCTTCAGATCTCTAGCGTGTCCTACAATACCTGGAAGTGGTAAACACTCCATAGATGATTGGGCTCTTGGGATCCTTTGTGCTCACGAGAAAAACATCCTCTGGAAGCCAAACAGAAGTGTCAATGTATTTCAGACATTCTGTGCTAAAACAATAGCATATTTCATATTTCTGAGATATAATGAGACAAAGAAAGAGCTGTAACTCACGTAGTTCATCAAAGTGGGTGTCTATTCCGTTACTCCCTGGCACGGAACAAATAAGTCGAGCTTTCAAGAAAGTAGTCCATTTATTGACCAGGCTCCTGTGACCTCCTAAGTCATTCTGTTAGACAAATTGCATGTTAAAGTCTGGCAAGAAATCTACTTTTTTATCTTTATAGAACAAATTCGGCAAGCAAAGACATAGGTTGTGTATTTATTTTTTAAATGCATTAGTAAACAGAGAATACACTGTAAGGATAATTTTTTTCAAGTGATAATGATAACAATCACACTTGCACTGTTACTGTGTAATGTAGGCAAATTTTTAATGCATACATAAAAATATTTTTGAATAGGACTGTCACAATAAATTTTGATGGGTGATAAAGTGTCTCATAAATTATTGGGATAAATGATTGTATTGTTTGGAGACCAGTTTAAACTAATATAATCCCTCCCCACACTGCTTGTGAATCTTATGGAAGTTAATGAAATTTACACAAAATAAAGTTACAAATTGATCTGGACCGTATATTGTGAAAAAAAAAAAACACAAAACAGCAGCCAATGAAGCTGTAAAATCGCTTCCCACCTCTTCTATCCAAGTTGGCCCAATTTATTCAGTATGTTGTCCCCTGGCTTCATTAAATAGCTGCAGTCACCTGCACGCCACTTACAAAGTTTACGGAACTTTACGTAAAATACACAAAAAAATTCATAAAAATTCTTGGCAAATCCAAGGTGTCGCCAGCTGAAAGAAGGTGTCGGAAAACCAAATATGCTCTTCTAGCTAAATGCCTATTCACTGTGCTCTCATGATAGAGGTTACATGACCATGCGCTTAGCAAATGCCTGACGCCAGCGTTCAGTCTTCCCTACGCTAATGGTGCGTTCACACCGAACGCGATTTCAGCTTCAAAATCGCAGCCAACGCTGAAGTTTGAAGCTCGTGCACTTTGAGGTCAGACGCAGGACAGTTGTTGAAGCGCCGCACGGCGACAGCCGCCCCGCCCCTCCCTCCTCTGTCGGGCTCCGTTTAATGTCGGACGAGGAAGTGGCTTTTGCTTTAATTTACAGACAGCCAGAACGTGTCACGTTCATCAGATAATTAATTCATAATTAATTCACCAGATAATTCAGAGAAGAGGCTCACAGCTGCTTTCAGGACTATTTTTTTCAGTCTGATGAGTCGCTGCCACGCATTGCTGCGGATCAGGACACGACTGCAGCACTCATTTTAGCTAAAGAGCAGGAGCTCTGTCTGTTTCAGGTTAGTGGACCTCATTCAGTAAACTGTCCCGTCGGGAAATATGTCACTACGTCACACAGTGGAGTCTCTCTGATTGGTTGACGCTGCGCGTCGAGCTGCAAAAGTTCAGATTTTCTAACTTAAGCGATTTGGACGATTTGGACGATCTGAGCGTTCGACGCTCAGATCGTCCAAATCGCGCTGCTCTAATCGCGCTTGAGGCGCCGCAGAACTTCCCGACGTTGCTTGAAGCGCCTCCACCATAGACTTTGCATGTAAACCTGCTGCTCCTGACGCTGAAATCGCGTTTGGTGTGAACGCACCATAAGGAGTAGAAAAGAGGGAGACACAAAGGCTACGTTCACACTGCAGGTCTTAATGCTCAGTTCTAATTTTTTGAAAAAATCCGATCTATTTGTGTGAACGTTCACATTACATTTTAAATGTGACCTGCATCAGACCCCTGTGTGAACGCTACACAGCACTGATGTGACATGCATGCGCAGTAAAAGACATGATGTCTCATCAGCCGGCTTGTTTGTTTACAGAGCTAGCATGGATGCTACATTTTGCGCATCGAATCGGAAGTTGTTGTTTAATCAGAGCCGATTAAATAATTATCTGACCTGCTTCTTTAGTTCAGTGTTTTTATCTGAACCTGCCTCTGACCGGGATGCTCCAGTGAAGCTTTTTTTTTTTTTTGAATGAAACTACGAGCTGGAAAAAGTATCGACCAAGTAGCTAACTTTAGGATCGATACTCTCCGCGACCCAGGCTGGACATCGTTATTATCAAACTATCTACGTGGAAAATGAAAAGTAAAAAGATGAAGCAACTGGACTTGTGTTTTGGAGCTGTAAACACACGGAGCTACAGATTTAAACAGCGAGACTTGAGGTTAGTGTCTTATTGATCCTTCACCCCCTCCTCCTGATGAAAAAGTCAGATGAATGTGACATGAGCGTTCACACTACAGTCACTTTGAAAACATCAGATATATATCCGATTTAAAACCACATACTGAAACAGCCTGGGCCGGATTTGAAAAAATCGGATTTGTCTCGTTCAAACTGTCATAAGAAAATCGGATATGAGTCAGATGGGTCAAAAAAATCGGATTTGGGTCGGATTTGCCTGCAGTGTGAACGTAGCCAAAGACAACAAACAAGCAGGCAAATGAAAATTATCAGTCTCAGTTTATTCATTAACCTCAATGTAATTTATTGTGTGATTAATTAATTTATTGCTTATCATGATGGGCCTATTTTTAAACAGATGTGAGAAGAAGTAAAAAACTCGAGGCCTGGTAACTGTCCCTTCTTGGAAAACTGGTTATACGTGAACCTGTAAGGACTTGTGTGACACTTGGTTAATTCGAGTTTCTTGACATTCACACCTACCTATTAACGTACATACATACCATGGTGACTGATTTATGTATTTGTTGATTTCACAGAATAAATTATTGTCTTTTTTGCTTCCCGTAGCAAAACATTTGTAGGAAACATTGACAGCTCCCTAAACATTTGCCCAAGGCACAGTCAGTGATTTATTTATTGAGAAATTTACTTTTGCCTACCTCATTTCTGTTTGATGACAAATGGCTCTTTTTTTTAAAATGGGACAGAAATATGACAGTTGCCTAACAGGGTAATGTGTGTTCTCTTGATTGCCGCAAAAGGACACAGATGCAGAAAGGTCTGGCTCATACGATTGCATTCCACCTCTGCTGAGCTGTGACAGTAAATTAGAATTTCTACAAGTATGCATAGGCTTAAATTAATACCACAACTTACGTAGTGAATGGCTTGTATTGTGTTGAGGACAGCAGATTCCTAGCATTCAGGGTAATGAGGGTGTGATAAAGAAGGTGTGATGTGCAGTTAAACAGGAGGCTAGAGTTGGACATGATATCTGAAATCAACTGAACTCTGCAGATTTGGAATATCAAACCTGCCAATAGAACATCTAATGCTGAGTACAACAGACCCAGCAAAAAAAGGGCTAGTTTTATGATAACAGTGCTATAATAATGACATTTTTGTCCCTCCCAGGTTTTGGTGACATATGACATTTCTCTCAGCCGCCTTTCATTAGGAGTGATTGCAGCAGATGGAACAAAGCCCATTTAAAACCAGGCTAAAATTAATCACAGATAACATCCCCTGAAGGCTGTGATTATGAAAGCCACTCAGACACTCTTTTTTTTAAAAAGATAGTGAAGCTATTTCGCATAATATTGGCAACAGTGACGTGGTCTGTTTCATATTGCGTGCACTTCAATATTCTCCATGTGTCTGTGTGTACGCTCACTTTGCAGAGCTGTCCAATGCGAGCATATGTGGCCTTTCCGGCATGTTCTCCTTCCATCGCGTTCTCCCGGAAGAACAGGTAGATTTTGTCATCCTCTGGGTTGTCATTTTCTGGGATGAGATGGACACCCAAAAATCTAGGCTCTTTAAAAAAATGCACATGGAGATAAAGTTAATCACATTAGCACAAAAACAATTTGCTTATTTACCACTTTTATCAAACTCTAATTGTTGAAAATGTTAATCAAATGATGGAAATCTGACAAGAATAATCAAATATTTGTGTAAAACACACATTGTGTAGTCAGTATGATCATAAAAAACTGTGAAATTATAAGTTATGATGGCAACATTTGCACACAGACTTATACTCGAGGGCTTCGTGGTGTGCTGTAATGAATGTAATAAATTGAAACCTGAACTCCACTTGAGAATAACATGCTTCTTGCACTTTGTTTGGACAGCAGTATTTTGAGCCATGCTTTAACAAGGTAGACCTTCTTGGCACAAGTATGGATGTAGTGATTGTTTTTAATAATAAACAGTGAAAAGAAGAGGTCTGTTTAAAGTTTTCTGCAATTTTCTCTGCTTTTGTGTAAAACTCTTGGTCGCACGTTTAGCTTAGGAACAGCTGAAGTACGATAAGAATTTATTTTAGATATTACCACATTTTTAGGTTATGTTTTTTTTTTCTGTGAAAAAAAATCAAATAAGAAGTCCAGGTGAACCTTTAGAAATGGGTCAACTTAAAGTGCCTGTGACATTCATATCCTTCAAATACAAAAAGTAAAAGCAAAAATCTTTTTGTTAAGGAAATTTAACATAGTACAGATGAGTTTATCCATTTTGTCACATAACTGGCATATTTTCTTTTGGATTTAGCTCTGCCAATGAAACAGGAAGTGACATCAAACGGGAACTGTTTAAGAAAATAAAGGCCCTGGTTTTTGCCTATTTAAACAATATTATTTGAACTTTGACTCTTCTTCTTTTCTTTTTGACAGTGACTCAAAATAATCTAAACATCAGCTTATCTACAGTCTGTGCTCTCGGCCTCCATGTTCTTTTCGCATGCCGACTTTCCTTTGACATCACTTCCCGATTTTTAATATACAAATATCTCAACAAATGTTCATATCAGTGGCCTGAAGCTTTTGTTACAATAAATCAATCAATGTTATTTTTCCATAAATGCATTCATATTTATTACAAAAAATTGATGTCACAGACTTTAAAGTCACAGCACATTTTACACTATTCTTTTTTATATAAATTTACTGCTATCTCACTGTCTTAGCATGTTTATGAAGAGGTTATGGATGATTTGTTACCAAATTCATCAGCATAACAGATTTAATCCAAAGACTGCTTTCACTTTACAGGGTCTGTCCTCCTAATCTTACCGTTCAACCACCGGGAGTCATGTTGTTCCGTCCTGATTGGATGATGTTTGCCAAGAGTGCGAAATATGGCAAAGTCCCGCCCCATGAAGTCAGCTGATGTTCCAGCGTAAAGCTCCCCATCTGAGAGGCAGAGCAATAATTTGTTAGCATACGTAGACATGTAAGATGAGAGCGCAACCTTCAGTGCCTGTTTTGTCCCCAGTGGGCTTAGCAGCACAGGTAGACTTCCAGTCCTTGGAGAACACAGACAGTGACAGATGTAATGGACATCAGGAGTGTGAAATTGGCATTAAAAACAGAAGGCAGGGCAGTGAAGGTGAGTGAAGGATGAACGAATGGGGGGTCAGATGTGTAGAGGCGAAACACAGGAGTGTGAGACAAGGGGAGTACATAATAATGCTGGTGAGAAAGGGAAAATAAAAGGGAGAGGAGATGAGGGGTGATGGGCTAGAAAATGGCCATCTGCTAGGTTAAATGGTATGATGTAACACAATGTGACTGCTAATAATCAGGGGAAAAGAGAAACATCATGCTCATTTACCCCTGCCAAAAACAGAGGGATGGGAGGGGGTGTTGACACCAAAGAGAACTCAATAAAGTGTCACTGACCACATGCACAAGGACCACTTTAATGAAGAACAGTCGGATTAAAATACATTTTACAGTCCTGTCAATGAGGGGTTCTTGGTGTGTAAATACAAAGCAGGTCGACATGTAATGAATGTCAGAACAACCCTGTACTGTTATTTTACATTGACGTCACGCCTCGTATATCTACTTCAATGACAGAGTAAGGTACAAGATGGCTGTAGCCTCCCATGGATTTATTGCAGACTAGAGGAACTGCACGCTGCATCCGTTCCTAAACTCACCAATTAGCATTGAAGCGGTGAGCAGCTTGGGGTCATAGGGACTCTTCCCTCTGCCGTTCTCGACATGTGGCTCGAGTCTGAACACACCATCCTGGACGCACAGAAAAAAAAATGATCAAAGCTTTGATGTACCGTCAAATGTGGGGGTGTACATATGTTTTGTTGAGAAAAATGTCATATGGCAAACAACTGCTTCAGTAACAGGAAGCTATTTTTTATAAAATCCAGATACTGATCAGACTGCAGTATTTGAAGAAAGCTTTGTTGGTCATTGTGTTCAAACCAAATGCTTTACAGTAACTCTCTGAAAAAGCTCAATGTGTGTTATACACATTAAAAGATGTTACTTTCATATACAGTACATATATAAAGACTTTATGTACCTTTTAAAGCTAAGTTAATGTTACAGTAAAAAAGAATGACTAAAAATCTCTGTGATGTCAACACTTAAAATTTCTTTAGCATATAACACAAAAAGCAGAAGGATTTTCTAAGGGATATTCTTTATCTTTAATGGTCTGGAACAAACCATCTAACGAAGGAGAAATTCCTATACGTCTTACATTTTGAGGAAATAAGAGCACAAATCAGCACCAGTTATTTGCATAAAAATGTATATAATTTAATTTGGATAAAGGAATTATTGTAGCTTTTTTTTAAACTTTTTTTTTACTTTTCTATCCTAATTTGGAAAACAAAGTCAATCCCATTTCAATGCTTTGAGATTTTTGAATTTCATTGTAACTTTGATTTACCTTTATATATTAATCAGCGCCATCGTGTGTGAAAGGAGGTGAGGACAACAATAATAAAATGCATCCTTACCTCTGGTTTTCTGCCCACCTCCAGGTAGGAACAGACTGGGTGGAAGGCTCCTGTCCCACACACATAAACATGGGTGTGGTTGAACGGCAGCAACACCTTTATGAAATTTGCACACTCTCTCTGTTGGAAAAAAAGGACACATAAAGTAAGATTCATTATTATTTTTGTTGTAAACAGAGTAAAATCTGGTGATAAACCATGCAGTTGTGAAACATGCAAAACTTGATCTGATATTGTTTCAGTTAAATAGGCAATAGTAAAGAAAAAACAAAACATCTGTGATGGTCACTTTTCCCTTTTTTTAATCCTTTATGAAAGGTATTTTTAACTTCTCTGTTTTATATTTCAGAATCACCTGCTTAGCTTCAATGTGAAATGATGTATAATATATATTATGATTTATAGTAAAACATACTGACACATTAAAGACAGGGGAAAAAAAGCAGAACCACAAATTTTGCACAAGTGCTTGTTGTGCAAGAGATTTCATTATTTGTTAAGCACCGGTCCATTACTGGTTTTACATGTGGCTCTGTTTAGGTGGAGAGAACTGTTACAATCAGTGTCACACTGCTGCAACTCTGCATCATATCTGGGATACTTTTCATGCTTCTGAAATTATAACAAAACAAAGCAGAGACGAGGACTCGATACAGGCATTTGTCGTGCCATAACTTGTGCTTGCATTTCTTAAATTAAAAATAACTTTCTTTATAATTTACTGCATGTTACAAAAATGTCTGGTATGTGAATTGAGGTTTGTCAGGTGAGGAAAAAAATGAGAAGTACATCACAATACCTGATAATTTATTCTACAAGTGAGTAATGCAGAGCATTCTTTTCTTTTTGCTTTTATACCTGACACCAAAACAAAAGTTTGTGTCAGTTATATGTATAATTGTTGCTTTTTTCCTCTTGTAGATGTGCGAAAATGCCTTTTTCCATCGATCTTGTCATGTTTGTTTTGAGGCTGTCAGGCATTTACGTAGGTTCAAAATATTTTTCTCCCCACCTCTTTTTAATTTGATTTCTTATCTAAGTGTACAGCAGACGGACCACCCTTACGGTGCCTGATTCATTCATTTAAAAATGTTTACAGAAAACAAGAGTTCTCAGCATGTCAGATTTGCCTCACAAAGGAGCTAAAAGCCAGGGGCACTCATCCTATAATGGTGAGCGAACGGAGCCACAAAAAGCCATGATTTTACATTCCAGCTTATTGCTTCAGGCTCTTTGGAAGTTCAAAATCCATAACAACACTTGTAGGCAGCAGATCCAATCTTTCAGTGTGTTTACACAGAGTTTAACCCAACTGGGCAAGCTTCCATGCAACTGCACTTGGTCAAATGCAGAGAGTTGAAATGTTTGGCTTGTCATGAAAGGATTGAAAAGGTTTAAATCTTAACAATTAAGGATTTGCTTAAGATCTATTTTCATCTTAACTTGATGAAAGTGACTAAACTATGCTTATCCTAAACAAATACACTGCAAAATTTCGGAATTCATAGATGAAAATTGTTCATATTTAATTCTAAGATAATTCTACCTTAGCTGATTATAACATTAATGAACTGTTGTGTTGTTTTTAATCTGGATTAATGATTTGACAGTATCAGTAAAACAGTTAAATGGCTTTATTTATGATTTTTTTTGTCTGCATGATTATCTGCTTGATGGCAAAAACCATGCAATATAAAATTTGTCATCTTTAACAGTAGTCAAAATCCAGCAGGTCTCTGAACAAATAATCACATACAGGTCAGAGTTTTGTGACAAAGGGAACTTTGTGTGTGCAAAGATAAAACTCCCAATTTAAGGATACACAAGACGTTCATGAATGATTCGAATCCTTTGATCGACTCCTTACAGTGAATGATGGGAACCAAGTCATGGGCAGTAAAAAGCTGTTGTTGGTTTTATTATTTTTTTGTATTCCACGTACTATCTTTATTTTTTCATCCTTAACTCCAGAGACAATTACACCTGCTTTTTTTTTCATAAAAACTGGCAGGTCATTGGAGCACGGCACCTCAGAGGAAAATGGGGAGGGGTTTCTACTTGATATGGTTCCACCCCCATGACAGGATGATGTACTTCCCTACGTGATGACGTAACTCATTCAAAACCAAACAGCTCTATGAAACAAATGGCTCATCAAGATTCAGATCCCTTCAAAAGGCCATTTATTTTATCACTAAATAGGAATATAGACACAACAACTATGTCAAATTCTCAGTGAACAAGTATTTACTCAGTCATTAATTTCCTGGGTGTTACTTTTTAAAAACAGACAAAGCAGTGTATTGGCAACAATCTACCTTCAGTGTGCTCGTATATATGCTACATTTGTACCAGCTTCACTACAGTATGTCTCTAAAGTTTTCATTACAGCCTAGTTGGTAAAATGCACTTAAATGGACCAAAACGGCATTATTAAACAATAATATATATCTTATTTTTACATCTCTGGAACTCATTGTTCATTGTAAAACTAAACAAATAGAATGATTTAAAATGTCTTGGGGAGCAAAAGGGTTAACCTGACTTCCGGGTTGAAGAGTGGATGAATTAAGCTCTTACCGGTACGTCTTTTCCTGCCCACTTGCATTCATCTTTTCTGGTGGGTGAAGCTGGCCAAGGAATCTGCAACCATAGCAGATATTATACAGATATACAGGTTAAATAAAAGAAAAAGAAAAAAGAACTACAAGTGATGGAGCACTGTAAAAAAATAAATGTTGGATTTACTTAACCATGTTATGTTACCTGGTTCCACTTAACTGAGTTGAGTAAATTCAAAGCAATATACCAGTTTTTAGCCAAAGAACATGAATATATTGCTTTGAATTTACTCAACTCAGTTAAGTGGAACCAGGTAGCATAACATGGTTAAGTAAATCCAACATTTCATTTTTAGAGTGAGCTCCTATGACAGAGTATTAGAGCCACAGAATATTTTTTATTATATATTCTCATGACTTATTTTCTCTTAATATTATGACTTTAAGATTGTATCAAAGTCTTGCGGTGTGGCCACAAAACTCTGTTGTACAGCTATGGCTTGTTTGCTTGAAAGTGTGTGTTTTTTTTATGGAAGTTGAAAGGGTCACAATGTGATTTGTTTTTCACTTTGTTCCAGTTTGCTACATAATTCACTCAGGTGTGCAGAGAGCAGCTAAGATGCTCAGAACAGTGTTTGACTGTGTGTGACAGCCCTGGTCTAAAATATACATGAAGCACTTCTCTTTAGATGCAGAGAAGAGACTCCCATGATACTTGAGGCCGGTGTTCTAGCTGAAGATGAACAACAGCAGAAGTCGGTCAGAAATGGAAACAGACCTAAAGCCATAAATTAATAAAACTATCAAACACACAGACAACAAATTACAGGCTTTACCCTTGCGTTGTCTTTGCTGATGTTGAGGAGGTTAAAAGAGAAAATGTGATCCTTGGCTCCCACCAGCAATCTTCCTTTCTCCTCATCCAACAGGAAAGTGTGGTAAGCTGTGCTGTTAGTGATGCCCTCAAATGTCACAAGATTGTTAGACTCCAACATCTCTGCAGAGATAAAATTAAGAAAAAGAAGTAATCAGAACAATAAATTAATTAAAAGAACTGGATGAATTGGGGCCATTTTCTATCCTCATAGGTTCTGTTCAGGATGTGTTCATTGGATTGGAGGTGTGGTACACTCTGGAAAGGTTAACAGTTTCACAAAGAGACAAACAACTATTCACACACTCACTCAGGGACAATTTATTGTTAGTAATGAACCTAAAATGCATGTTATTGGTATGTGGGAGAAAATCAGAGTAATCTGAGAACACCCACATGTGCACAGAGGGAACATGTTAACTCCAATCAGGAAAGCCCAGGGCTGAGAAACGATTCTGGAACCGTCTTGTTGTGAAATGACATCCAAATGTACCGCCTCTCCATTTTAGATTTTTTTTCCCACTTACGCTACCATGCAATATTTTTGGAAGGTGGGAAGAAACCGGAGTACCCAGAGAAAACCCTAACATGAATGAAGACAACGTGCACTCCATACACAAAGGGCCCAGCTGGAAGTGGAAACAGAAGTCTCTTTTGCTTCAAGGCATCAGCACTAACCAACTGTGCCACCATTTAGCCTTGTTACATCTTATAACAAATTGTTTTACTGTATGCTTAGCCAAGCAAATTGCTACTAGAGCATTTTAAGCTAAAGTGGAACTGACAGGTAAAACCAACACTGTAAGCCAAAAACAAGACTGTTTATATGTGGAAGGGACTTTCGTCAGAGCGGCCAAGCAGAACTCACAGTGGAAATCTGGGATGAGGATTAAATGTTATTATTCTGCTACTATTCCATAGTCTAAACATTACCTTAACACTACAATACAATATTAAGGTCACTTTGCAATACTGTTTCTCTGAAAAAGAATAAATAAACAGCAGTCTGCCAAGTCCAACAATATACCGGCAATCACTCTTAAACAGACGCCCAGTGTTTCGAAAGAGTTTACCACACTGACACGAAGCGGTGAGATTTTGACAATTGTTTCTAAACTCCTTTTTATAAAACATATCAAGACTTTCAAACACACAAAAGCACAATTTATTTTCCACTTTTTATTCTGTCTGTAAAATCTCACCAATACAACTGTCTAGATTGAGGGAAGTCAAGACTGCAGGGTCATAAAGCCGATAAAGGGCACAAGAAACACTTTGTCAAATACTGAAGTTGTTCTCTACATGATGTGGTTATAGTGTTATTAGTGTCTTGACTTTCATGGGTCTTAATTCTACTTTGTAAATATGTGAAACTGTGTCAAAAACTTTTTGACTCCCTATTCCAAAGACCAGCAATACAAGCAAAGTGCTGTCAAAGTGCTGAGAGTTATAGAACATGCAGGAAAGGCTTCACTGGGTGTACTCTGTTTTTAACTGCCTGTCTCTCAAGAAAGAAGAAAAAACTAACAGATATACTCATAAATGTTTTAGCTGAGAGGATGCCCCCTTCACTGAAGTGTGTCACAGCCCAAGAGAGAAAAGTTGATGAAAACTGGAATAAGACATAAGACCATCAGGGAGGACAAGGCATCGTGCAGAACACTTTTTCTTCATTTATCAAATCAAATCAAATCGACTTTATTTATAAAGTGCTTTAAAACAGCGGCCACTGACACAAAGTGCTGTACATGAGGGGCCAAAAACAATAAAGCGAATCTAACAAATCAACACTAAAAACACTCAAACACTAAAAACAAGCAAATGAAAAACAGCTAAAACAGACTAATCTCAAACTGTGTTAAAAGCCAGTGAATAAAAATAAGTTTTAAGATTAGTTTTAAAAACAGGCAATGAGGAGGCCTGCCTGACGTGTAGGGGTAGCTCAATCCAGAGCTTCGGAGCAGCAACTGATAATGCTTGATCACCTCTGAGGGTTCGCTTTGTCCTTGGTATTTTAAGGTGCAACTGATCGGCTGACCGGAGATACCGTGCAGGGGCATGGGGTGGAGAAGCTCCGAGAGGTAAGATGGGGCAAGGCCATGTAAAGATTTAACAACAAATAAAAAATACCTTAAAACAAACTCTAAAACGCACGTTTTAGAAGCTTGTTTGTTTTAATGAGCACAGCAGGGTTAACACATGATGTCATTTTACTCCATTTGAAACATAAAAATCAATTTGTCTTGGAAAAGCATGTTCAAATGTGATAAAAATAAATGTTGTTCATCTTTAAATCAGATTAGTTTTTGCACATTTCTCTCTCTGAGTGCCATGTCAGAGGGTGTTGGTGACCATGGTTCTGTACTCTATATGGCCTTTAAAATGTCCATAAAATGGCTCAAATGGTCTGTGAACTTCGTCCACATTTTTTCTTTCTTTCTTTTTCCAGTTGATGCAAGATGTTCTAACCCGTCTCTTCTCACAGAGTGTCCAAACAAAAAAATAATAATTATAATAATAATAAAATAAAAGAAAGAAAAGAAAAAAAAACAACAACTGGCCCAGAAGGATCTTTTTATGAAGGGACTTTTTTCCTGTTTGCCCTTGTTCTTCATTGGTGATTCTGTGGGTGTACGAGATATTGAGCATTTTTCTTAAAAACCCAATGCGGCATTTTTAAATCTAACAGTTTTTTGGTTCATGGTCCAAGCTTTCTCTTCCATATTTCACAATGGGAATGATGTAACGCTCCGGCACTCCTCTCCGGGTCTTTATAGAGAGGCCTACATTTGTCAGAACTCTTCTGAAGTTTGTATTTCATTTTTTTATGTAAAAATGTTAAGGACAAAGTATTGCTTCATTAGTGGTGACTTGAAAAGGTTCACTTTCTTCTTTATAACATTTATGAAAAAAATCCCTTTTATTTCTCCCTCACAATGTGCTAAAGGAGGTGGATCAGTGGGGTGTCCTTTATTGGGTTTTCACATTTTTTAAGAAAAACAAAAACCCTACAAAGGAACATACTGGATCGTTAGGTTCTGACAAGTTACAACAGGCTTCTTATTTAATGCAGTATTTGTTTTTGTTTTTGCTTTTTTATCTTAACAAACTTGGGCTCTTAGTGATTTAAAGTAGTTATTAGGGTTCACGTAACACACCCATTATTTTAATTATGGATAGAAACACAGCCCAAAAAGCTCAGCTGTGCTTGTTCTGGAGACTTGGTTGACGATCAATCACCAGTGGATCAAATATGAGCCTTGTGCTGACAGCTCTGTAACATCTACTTAATACCTGTGACCTTGTTTCACTTGCACTCACGTTTTGTTTACTGTATGTCTGAGAGAAAATAAATTATTATTGCAACACTCCATCAGTTTTAGGTTTGTTTTGTACAGCATGTTTTAGTGAATTATATAAAGTTAAATAGTATCATAATATAGTAGCAAAGTTTTTTAAGTGTCACAAAATGCAGTCTATTGATTGTGTTGAAGGTACTAACGTCTATGAAGGATCTCCAAATTGATTTGTGAAAAAAAAACATTAGAAATCTGGTGCAGTAAACTATAAAAAAGTGAGATGCTCAGACACTGGTTAACAATTCAAAAACAGCCAAAAATAAAAATGCACTATGCTCCTTAAAACATTTTTAAATACATGCTGAAAGTATTAGAGCCCCATTAATAAGCTTTTACTTCACAATGTTTTAACAAGCAACGTATTTGTACTTGCTAAAAAGGTACAAGCTCCAGCTGTCCATGACTCATAGTGTTTCCAATATTACTCTCACAAATGATGGATGAACATCCAGGGATGGTGAGATTTTCTCAGCATGCTACATCACTAGAAGATGGAAATCCATGCTCTGCAAACTTTCTGAAATTCTCAACACACATCTGGCATAACAGTTCCAAAAAACAGCATTTGGAAGGACGTTCGAGAGAGCAGAAGACACAGCTGTGCAAAACTGGTAGAGCAAAAAAGGTGTGCTGTAACAGGAACAAACTGAACCACGACTTCAAAACAGGCACATATCAGACTGTGGTTTCTATGCCTGTTCCACCCCTAATAGACAACAAATAAAATCAGTTTAAACGCTGCAGGGTGTGCTCTTGGAATTTACTGCGCCTTTGATTTCTAAATATTTTCCAGTCTGATACATCTTATTTTCTTTTCAAGTTTGCTTTATTTTTTTTATCACTGCTTTGACTTTCACCTCATTTAATTTGATTTGGCTAGTTAAAAAATAGATCTTACAACGATTACAAAGTTATCTATTTATCTAATTGTTTTTCTTCCCCTCGCTACATTTGTTGACATAAAAAAGCTGTAATATGAGTTTTGTGATGTGAGTGAAATAACGAGGACTTTACTCAAAAAACTAAAACAACAAATGGATATCTCTAAGAATGTTGCGTATTATTTGATTTAATAAATCTTTTCATAACATTGCAGTTGGAAAGTGTTGTCTGTGAGAAAACTGCTTAGTGACTACACCACACTTATCTATAAATCTCATCTTTATATGACAAAATGGCTCAGAAAAAACACTCAGAATAGCCACATGCATCCTTTATACACCAAGAGACACATCTGTAGTTTTTAGAAAATATGTCTTTGTCTACGGAAGTAGTGTCCATGGCAACAAACCACTCAACAGAGGCTACAGCTAAGTTATTAAAAGCTAATCACCCAGAGACACACACTCTCTCGGGCTTTGTGTGTGTAGATCTGTGTGGGTATGTGTAATGGAGTGTATTTTGTTGTATATTATTGAAAAGAAAGGGGGTGTTTCCAAATCCCACCAGAGGCAGCCTATACATGTCTGAACTGGCATCCCCTCTGGATAACTGCAACAGGTGAGTATGAATGAATACTTACATAAAAACGTCAATTATTTTTCTATGGCTTTAAATTGTGCTCTAATCAATAACTGTACATTTTAAAGTGGCACTAGTTAATCACAAATCTTCAATTATAGTGAGCATTTTGGGCATTACTAGTTAATCAGACAGCATTTTAGATGTACTGGTCAACCAAATGGCATTTTTAAGGCTCAACAGTGAAAAGACAAAAACTAGTTGACTAGTGAGGATTTTAGAGTATAGCAAGCTATCAGAATTATCTGTAAGTTGTGTTCCTTGGTATCTGCCA